TGTCATACATATCTGTCTAGGAAATGTAGACTTTCGGATAAATGGAACAAAAACTGGTTGAGATGCATTGAACTAATTGTAAGATGCAATTATTTTCGGTTTATCACAATTTTTTCCAGTACTGTATATCTCATGTTATATTTCTCATGACGCTTGGCTAATTCGACTTGATTCCTTTAGAGAAAAAGTGACAGTTCCTCTACTTCACTGCTTCAAATGATGACTGACCTCTCCTAGTCGTGTTGTCCTCAGGCCGTCCCACTTTATGAAGGTTTTCGAACAAAGTTTTTACACTCGTCAGACCAGTGTTGTTGAAAACTCGTAATCTGCCCGAAATCGCAGTAACACGTTCTAGAGGAGATAAATCGATGGTCGACACTGAAAGCGTCATGGTAAACATGGATATTTGATTAAGAGGTGTATGGATTGTGGGGATGATAGAGTACAAGGACGTATGGCCTTAATAGCCATCTCCGATGTGTCTGTGCTCTGCATTTTCTACAGTGGACAAGTCTGTCGGTTTATATTCGTCGTGTACTTCAATGTTCGTATTGACGAAAATTGGGACTGTTAATGGCATATACAGAGTTTAATAAACCTTGTGCAATTCAATAAAGGAATATTAAGGGCACACTGCATGATTAGAAGGTGTGAGTAGTGATTTGCCTATAAGGTAACGCGGATTCCCTGTCATTGCTGTCTCTTCCGGAAATGCAGAGCGACCAACCTAAACCAATCTAAGCGCGATAAACCAAGTTTGTAGATAATAGAGTCACTCCGCAAGTCAATGACTAAGTATTCGAGTGGTGCGGACCATCTGTGTCAGATAAAAGGTGAAATGCAGAAGCAGGATGGTTGCTGCTTCTGCATTTCGTCTTTTATCGAAGGGCGAAATGCAGAAGCAGCAACCATCAGTCATGGCTAATGCGCCGCAAGTGCTAATGCCCTCCGAGCGCCTTTCCTACTTGGATTCTATGTGCCTCTTCTTTACTGCTCACGCACTACTCGTTTTATGTAAAGCCATTTTTCCTGCAAGCGAGTGGCCACATGAGGGGGCGTGGATTCGAGTGGAGCCAGGTGGTTCCCACCATTTGTCGAAAGCTTGAAAAGACTTTCAACTAGCGGCTGCGCCCCACGCCTCTTGCACGCCCCTTCACTTCCAGGGACAATGTTGTACTAAGTCACACATCGTACTAACATTTTCCTACCGCCATGGTACGGCACTGGAAACATCAGCTTGCCTAAGGCCGTGTTAGTACTTTGCGGCAGCGTCCACGAGCGTTTCAAGCGTATAGCGGCGTCAGTGACTAGGGAAGTATAGATATCAATCGGGCGTCTGCTAGCGTGCTCCAGCGCCTCCCAACGTCCACCAGCGTCTCGAGGCCTGAGAATACAGGTATCGCGTCTACCAGCGTGACAGCATGCACCAGCGTTTACCACCGTCCGGAAGAGGAGCGTATGGGCGGTAGACCTGGTAGAGTATGGCGGGTAAGAGGGTACCAGGTGTCAGCTAACCTCCTATCGTCTCTCGGACGCTGGTGCACGCTGATGGACGTTTCCAATGATAGAAACGCAATGTTTGTTTCTGGTGATGAGGGTGACGACGTTTTCGACAATTGTTTGCAATTAGCACGACTTCTTCTAGCAATCGAGCAGTGATTGCCGGCAATAAAAGGAATTTGCCTTATCCGAAGCTGGTGGTCTTCCGCTGCTCAATATAGGGAGTCATAGGCAAGTATTCAAGTCTCCAGCGTAGCAATAGGTTGGCTGAAAGCTAAAACTCGTTAACCGAATCCGTAATTGCCTATAAGAGGTTGGCAGTCTGTTAGAAGAGCAAAATGGCGTCTGTTGAAGCAGCGCCGAAATCTCCGGACGGCATAAACAGGTGCGAGGCTTTCCTTCTCCATCTGATCGTAGATCTTTTTTGTTGTGAGATATCGAGAAGCGGTACGGAGGCATAGGAAACTGTTTCTCAGAGGAAACCGGCTGATTGTCAGGCCAAGATAGAGCGTTACCTCAATCGTGAAACAGCGCCCGCCCAGGTCTGGATATGGAGACAGTCACTGGTGCCTCAGCTTCTCGGCGCGCACGGTTTGTTTGCCTTCCGAATCTCCTCAGAACGCGAATGGAACTCGAGATTCATCCAATCCAAGTAGGGCTGAGAAGATCATTGGGCACTTCCAACTATTACTACCCCAAAAAGTAAAAAAAATTTGCTGAAACTTTGCCCACAGGGGTGACTCGGTGTCCCGATCACGAATATAGCACTCATTAACGGCGCAGGCGGAACGGATGTAATATTCGTGTTAAGGAGGTCAAACTATCCATGGGCAAAATTCTCAGAGGGTTTGGTGATCTGGGATAACTTGACGCAGGCGCCTGTGGCGCGGGAACCAGGCAGTTTCCAGTCAAGTGGATGTGATATTCGTGTTCAGGAGGTCGAATTACCCCTAGAACCCAACTTTAGCCAAATCTGCCCCGTAGAAAAAAGTCGATCAAAATCCAGCCTGTTTTCGGAAAATGGGGTATAATAGTTGAATGGTGTCGATCGTTGTTATTGGACACGTATCACTCGCCTTGTCTAGGATAAGCTATACCTATGGTTGTCTCCTACAAGAAAGCGGCTTCGAAATTTTCACGGATTTGCGGAGGTGAACTAGTTGCCTGCAGAAGTAGAAATCGACGGTCGACTCTAAATGTGGACGTAGAGCTGCGGTAAAGTCGTGCGAAAGGTAATGGAGGCGTCAGCGCCATTGTTTTGCTGGAGTGTGGTAGGTGTGAATGTGAACTCTCAGGCCTGATGTGGCCTGATGAAGCAGAAAAGACATGAGCGCTCTGTGGTGGCCGCTTCAAGTGACATTGTGATGCACAAAAGCAGTGGCAGCATTGGTCTTTTCTGACAGTGTTTTCTCCTGTGTTGTGGCTGATAGATGGGACAAGGTGAAGGCGAAAGAAGGGAGTTAGAGAAACTAGGTTGACTCTCTTCCGTCTCTGCACTGCGCATACTCCAGACGACACCGTGGTTTCACCGATTTCCGAATATTTCTCAACAGATTCTCAGGCGTAAGACTCTTCGACCGGCTCGTTGATAGCAACATTCTTGGCTTGAAAGGTGAACGCCAAAGCTGGGCATTGCAAGGTCAGCATCCAGTGTTCTTGAAGTTCCAAAACTCGGGATTTCAACAAATTGATGACATTGTCGAGAGATTCTGACCAGTTGAGCTCCCTCGGGGGAGGGGAGGTGTAACGAGCAACACTGATACCTACAGAGACTGGAGCAGAAGCAATTCTCTGTTCACTAGTACAATTCTGAACACTCCACCTTGGAAATATCCTTGTGAGTGTTGATTGAGAGCTATGCTAGCTACACAAGCAGCATGTTCATCAAGTAGAAAAGATCAAGCAGCATGTTCATCAAGTAGAAAAGATAGCAAAACTAATTTGAAAAAGAAAA